GAACTCAAGTACATATGAAGTATGAAAAAAAGGTATTTTAATTATGTTTTTATATTTATAAGACACACTGTGCGGCTGGGAAACACATGTGAAGGTTGGGTGATCAGTGTATGTCTTCATACTTGAAAATTTGCATGGCCATAGAGAGCAGGCAGTTGGATTCTTTTTTCCACTGAACTTGAGTCGATGCCTTCATGTTCACCACGCCAACCTCGGCGATCAGCGTGGACGCGGACGTGAGAATGTGTTGCCACAACCTCCCAGCTTAATAATGGCTAGGTACGAACTCCATTATATGAGACTGAACAAGTCACTGCAAAGCTGATGTCATTTTGGAGTGCCATTTCTTTCTCCCAGGATTCCCCCCTGGGGAGGTCTCATCTGCAGCTGCCACCTCTGGGGACGTTTGTGTCCTTGCCCTCCTATAACATGTGGCTAAAAACCCTTTGTTCCCCATTTTGCCCCGGCATTGATCAATATAACTTGCTTTGCACCCCCTCAGTTTAAACACAGGAAGCAACTCTGCGAGGCAAATATTGCTGGAGCAGACGACTTTGGTTTAATGCACCTCTCCCGTGAGTGCAAATGCAGGCCCCAGCTGTTCTAATATTTAACTGGAGCAGGGCCCCATCTGCTTCTCTGGGTAATCACTCTGTTATCTAGGCCAGCTGCTGCTCTGGCCACTCCGCATCGGAAAGGAGTTGTCTTGGGATCCGAAAGATTTAACCCCGCAAGTTTGCTACCTAGAACCTGCCCCCCAAGTGGGCATCTGAAACAGCTCCTTTATAAATAGTATTGCAGTATTTTAACATGAGCTAAGCAACTCGAATAGAATTTTATTTCAGCCTTCTGGCACTGGACACCTTATGACATTAGTTTTCCGTGAACCGAGGCTTGATCATCGGTTACATAACCCAAACCTGGCGTTGGTTCCGCTTCCTATTACTTAAACCCTTTTACGGAAGTCAGTCCTCTTTTCTAAATTAGCAAGACAATTTCCCACTCGAGGATCATTATTATTCCTTCCATTTAACTATTGGGGTCAGTTGAAGGATCTATTAATAATTTTTAAAGTGACCTGGAAGCTGTTATGTAGTTGGATTCCTGTTAGAGCTTCTGAAAAGACTCAGACTCAAAGCCTCTTTCCAAGTATTATTTATAGTTTTCTTTCTTTTTCCCTTTAAAACGTTGCAGTAGATGTGAGCGGTGAACGTAAGGGTCAGAGGACCACCTCCCAAACAGTCAGTCCTTCTGTCCTTTAGTTTTCCTGTGGGACCAAAATAGCATGTTTCAGCTATGAAGACACCTGGTAATGACTTTTGTGCGGCCCCTTTTGGGACCAATGGTCTTACTGGGTATGGATTTGTTTAACCTTAAGAAGTAGAGCTTCAGGTGGGAGACAAAGCGAACTGTGTGATAACGTACGCACTGGGGGTCTCTGGCATTGGACGAACACGCTAGGATGGGAAGTTTCTTCACACCACGAGTTATATGAGTTGAGTCTCAAGCCCCAGCGAAGACCGTTTGTCTCATACAAACATGCACGCGGAGCCCGGAGCTGGCACCAGAGGCGGGGCTCTGCAAAGCCCAGCACCTAAGCCAAGCCGCTTCTCTGAGTCACCTTCAACCGGTTGGGACAGGAGGAGAATTTGAGGCACAAACCCCTGCAGGGCCTGGGAGTCACCGTCTGGAGAGAGTCCAGAAAGGGGAAGAACATGTTGCAGTTTGATCCACAGGAGCCTGAGAAATAGGCTGCAGGGGAAAGACAAGTTGGGGATTAAAATCTTTTGGGAAGTTTGCAGAATTGACTTACTACCCTAAGGCAGTTCCCAGAAGAGGCAGCCAGAGCTAGAGATTTTTTCCTCCGGGTCTCAACCAGCAGCCTTCCTGGTGGGTCCGAGTTCAGCTGAAGTGGGTACATCCGTCATCAGCCTTCGGTGCCGTGGTCTCGGTGCGAAGCTGTGACTTGAACAGGCTTCTAGGGATCTGATGTCCTAGCTCTGGGCCGTATCGGGAGGTGGGGGATGGGCTGCCAGACTGGAGAATCAGAGCGACGTTTCCATAGTGTCCTTCACCCACAGGGGTTCTTCTTCTCTTGCCCCAGCCACCGTGAGCTTCTGCTCAGAAAGAGGGTGGGACGGCGCTGCAGTTGGATTTTGCTCTCTCCCCCGTTATTTCGGTTGAAGTTCCCACGCTGTGGTGTCGCCGTGGCCATCGGCGCCTACATGATGTCTGTGAGGGAGTCTGTCAGTTCGACAGCATGGCCTTCGGAGCAGCGGGAAGAGTGTGAGGGAAGGGGCCTGGCTGAGCATCCTGAACTCAGAGCAGAGTCGGAGAGTTATTTCCAGCCCGTCGGCTTTTCCCTGTCTTCTGAAAATTTACAGAGCGCACCTCTGAAATGTGACTCGATAGAAGGCTCGGCATTCCAGAGCCCTTATTTATGACCTGCCCAGCCTGAGCAGGTCAGGGTGTGAGCGGCTGCAGGCCAGCTCCAGGGAAGACAGGGGCCCCTTCCCCAGGTGGCCAGTGCAGGCCGTGAGGACAGGGAGTGGTGGTGAGGGACAGGCCCCCCCAGGGAAGAACTCTGGTCCTTAGAGGCGGCGTTGCACCCAGCCCATGGCCCTTTTCCTGTTTTCCTTGGTGGGTTACAGGGCTGAGGTTTTGCAGAGCAGTTCTTAGCATATCCGGTAAGAGTGATACGGAGAGTGACTGATGCGATCCCAGCGAAGGGAGCAGGGACAGCGTTGTGTAGGGTGTCAGCTGAGCCCTGTCTGTTCCCACATGGGCCTGCCGGGCCCCCACACCCTCCTGCCTTCTGTGGCAGAGGCTCACTCGTGCAGGTGGCTGGCCAGCAGACACGTAACCCCACGCAGCAAGATACGAAGAGCTGCAAGCGAGGGTCTTTCCGTTCCTGGGCCCGTTTTCAGGCTAAAGGGCTGTATGTGTCTGCAGAGCTTGGTGCCGCCTTGGAGGCCACTGTCTCCTCGTCCCGAGGACCTCCCAGGGGACCCGCATGGAGCAGGGTGTGACAGCTACTGCCATGTGGGTTAGCACCAGTTTTATGCCAAAAAAAGTAATACATTCAAAACATACTGTAAAAGTCCTAGTTCCCCAACACATAGAAACCCTTCCATGCGGAGTCCCCCGAAAAGGATACTTTTGAGTGGAAATGAAGGTGCACACTCAGGCGTGAACACCAAACCCAGAAGGTCTGGCGTTTTCCAGTGCGAGAGGCCTTCCGGAAGCAGCCCAGTTTCAGCCTCCACGGAACGTCCGCTGCTGTGTGGCGCTTCCCGCAGTTTCTGAGTCCAGGTCGGGCTCCCTCGAACTCGCTGGTTGGAGATGAAAGTAGTTCAGAGCCGTTCTGCGTGCAGGTCTTTTCGGTCAAACCAGTGAGACAGGAATTACAACCCAAGTTCAGCCTAGCTTCTAAGTCTGGGCTCAGTGTCCAGCCAGGTGGTGCTGGTGGAGACCCTGTCCCCAAGCGAATCCTCTCAGGTAGCCTTTCGTCTGCAAGCCTGCCCGCTCCCAGAGGGGCTGGGGGGGCTGGTGGGCAGAGGTGGCGGAGGCAGACTGCAGACCTGATGGGCTATCTCTGAAGCGAGGGTGCGAGGGTCAGAAGTTAACAAGGGAGGCAGACTTAGCTTTTCTCAGAAAGGTGACCTTTTGCCCATGACCTTCCATTTCCATTAATGAGGAGTAGTCCTCAAAATCCACACGAAACAAAACAAGCCCCGTCCCCTGCCCTGGGCAGTCTTCCTGTGCAGAGACCTGTGGCAGACGGGTCTCCCCAGTTACACTCCGCTAGGTGGGGCTTCTTGAAACCTCTGCATGGGGTTCCCTTAGGCCAAGAGAGCTCGCATTTAGGCTCACCCCTTTCTCTCGATTCCCTCCCCCCTCAGTATCTCTTTCTCTTTCCAGATCCTCCTTTAGAGGATCATTTTGGATGAGAAAAGTATGGGCATGGTCTGAAAATGATGGAGTGTTTTTCTTCACGGTGTGGAGAAGTTGTAACATGGACAGGTGCTCCTGGGCATGAGGAGAGGAGCCAGAGCAGTGCCCACTGGGTTTCCCAGGTGCAGTCGGTGCCTCCAATTCCACGGCAGCCCCTTTGCTTTCCTGTGTCACTCACCTGAAGAGTCCCGGGCCCTTTGGGCCTGCTAGTCATTTTCAGGAACTGAAATGTCACAGAGATGGTCATTTCTGTACAGAGACAAGTAAACTGAGGAGGAGGGGAAAATCTGCATTGGAATCCAATCGCTTGTGTTTATTTGCATCTTTACATTGAAACATACTCCTCCCTTCCCAAATTAAAAATAAGCGCTGGAGCCCGGGCCGCATAGCTCAGCTGGTTAGAGTGTCGTCCCTGAATGCCAAAGTCCTGGGGTGGATCCCCGGTCGGCACATACAAGGATCAATCAATGAATGCACGAATAAGTGAAATAACAGATAGATGTCCCCCCTCTCCCTCCTCTTCCTTTCCTCTCTCTTTCTAAAATCAGTAAATAAAAATTAAAAACAAGAGCTATAGCCACTTCATGAAAAAAAAATCACATGCAATATTGTTTTGTGTTCTGTGTGCAATTGCTACAAATAGTCAATGTAACTGCCTGTGTGACTTGGTGTGTTGAGTCCTGATACCCACTGTGTTGAAAGTGCCCGCCCAGCTGTCTCCCGCACACATTAATTTAGGACAAGCCACTGTACCAAGAGCTTTCTGCGGTTGGGTTCACCTCGCTTGATAAACAATTGAGAAAGTTCAGCATAACCGAGAAGGCATTTAGAGCTATGAGTCACGTTCCTGACAAGCCAATAAGGCAAGAGAAGTGGAGTTGCAAAACAATTACTAGCCCAGCCGGAGGGGCCCTGGAAATGTGTTACAGGTACTAGTTACAAAAGCAGAGCATTCGGGTCTGACCACGCCGCACAGAACCAGCGGAGGCTGCTCCCCAAACCAAAGCACCTGACACTGACCATGCCAATTTTTACATTTGTTTCAGAACCAGGGATGCTCAAAGCACCGGAGGTAAGATCAACATTTCACCTTTTTTATAGAAGTTTTGCCTTTCAGGGTGTTTGCTCACTTAAGCGGGCTTGAGCTCTCAGAATGGTAAATGCACCTTTGAAAAATGGGTGGAGACAGAGTGAGCCACCAAGTGCTTGGAAGGAAAGGCACAGGTTCATTCGGAGGGGTTCTCAGTCACCGGCTGGGGATCTTACGCAGAGGGGAAAATGTGGACGTTCAGTTCAAGCTTAGTGTGTGAAATGGAACTTTCAGACTCTCACTGAGTCAGGCAAATTTCAAATAAATACTGTGGCAATCTTGTGGCGTGAGCATGGGGGACACAGCTCCCTAGTTCTCTGCTGCAGTCCTACAAAGCCCTGAGGCTTGTGAACGCCCTGGGTCGAGGTGGCTTTGATCCTGTTTGCACAGAAGGACGGTGGCCCTCGTCCCAGGAAGCTGGCAGACCTGCAGCAGTCAGGAAACGTGTCTCTGCCCAGCATTTGCTAGCACTGGGAAAAACAAAACACGTTCTAACATTGCTCTTTTAAGGATGTGGTTTCATGTTCCCAGGGCTTTACATTCGAACACAAACACGGTTCCTATCGTCTTATTGATCATATCCGGATCTGATAACCGTTTCCTTTCGGTTTTATACCGAATCTTAGGTCTAATGGTTTAGGAGTATGTGCTCCCTGTTACCACTTAGAATAAAGTTATTTTTTAAAAGTAAGAAAAGAATGAAAAATAGGACCAATTCCAGGCAGCCATGGTCTTGGCCTTCAACCAAAAGTAACAAATTTCTTACCCGACCTCCCCAAAATAATGTCATAGCAAAGGAGATTGAAATATAAAATATGTGTGATGTTATGTGAACCTAAGGTGCAGCTCTTTGAGAATTTCAGAATGAAAGAAAGACATTCTATGCCAAATTATTTTAACACAACTACACCACATGAAGAGTGGTGTAATATTTGTGTGCTTCGAGTAGGCTGGCATTTATATAGTTGGTAAAAATAATGAAAAGCCCAGCAAGATATCAAATAAGAGGTAAGTTTTTCCTACAGTTTTTGCAGAAGCTCATCATTTTTTGATGTAGGTTATCAAGAGTGTGATATGAGGAAATTCACAGGCACCTCTTCAAAAAATCAGGTGACTGTATTTTAGAATCTAGATCGAAAGAGTGTATAACAAGATAATAGTAATTTAGGAAATAGGCAGCACAAGTTTTTCCAGGGCTGAAATAAATCCCTGTAAAATTTCTTTTGGCATTTAGTCGACAGGTAAGGTTTCTCATTGGGACTGTGGGACAGAAGTTCCAGTGAACTTGGGAAGCAGTTTTCTCTCTCACATGCTTGGGCTGTTGTTGGATTCCTGAGACAGATTTCTTTGTAGCTCCCAACTTGAACTCATGTCACTTCACATTCATTCTATTAGATATTTCCAAAATAATGGAAATATCCATTATTTTTTGTTTCCAGGGAAGATGATTCCACTTCATTTTATTTAAGTGACGTGCAGTGGGTGTGTTTACAGAAGGGCAGCGGGCTAGTGAGAAGGGGGTGATAATTTTCACATGGTCCTGAATAATCCTCCTCAAGCCTTTTTGTGCTCTTAGAAGTTACACATAAGCCTGTTATGAAAGTAATTAATTTTCACGTTGATTTTAAAAAATGTAGCATCAGTATTTTAGTGACTTCTGACTGTGAGGGTGTAATTTTTATTTAATGTGTGATTCTGCTACTAATCCCTGCCTGAGCTCAGTGTAGGGGGTGCTCAGAGCAGACAGACAGTAGGGAGAGCCTTTCACTGCACTTTGCCTACCGAGACTTGCACTCTGCAGACAGATGCCGTTAGGGGCTCAGGAGTCCTCCCGGAACTAAGTGAGGAAGACCTTCTGGAAGCTCTGAACCTTTTATCTCCCCCTCTCTCCTGAAGACCTTTTCCTCCACGTACCCATCATGTTCTCTTCCTCTTTCAATGGCCATGACGGTGAACTTTTTATTTTTCATGGTACAGTTCAGTGTCAAGGTAGGCCAGTGCCCAGGGGCCACAGGACCTGTGGGTGCCCCTGAACCACCCCTGGGAGGCTCAGCTCACCCCCGTTCCAGAGTGGGCCTTCGGCAGCAGCACCGGCTCCGGGAAGCGTGGTTCTCCCTGCAGGCCCGTGCAACACGCTCTTCTGTCCGTCTGTTCCTCCTCCTAGGGTGTTCCCCCTTCAAATCAGGTAGCGGACCCGAAGCCAGTGCCACAGAACAGGTGAACCTTGGCTTGTTTTGTTGGCAAAATCAAGAGAGAGAATTAGGTTTGTCCCCAAAAAGGCGAGAAGAGAGTTTCTTAGGCAATCAAGGTATGTCTTTCAGAGAAAGACAAGGCAATAAATAGGTAATGAGTTGAGAAGTCAAACTAGGTTCTTGGGTTGTCCTCCCCCCAACCCTCACCAGTTCTAAGTAGATCAAGGGAGACAGGGAATGTTCTGAAGACTGAGTCTCCCATCTCAGGGGGCAGTAACTGGGGGCTCCTGGAGACGCCCAGGAAATGTGCCCAAGGCTTCCACTGGGGACAAGCTCCTGTCCGGCTCTGTCCCAGGCTGTTGATGTAGAGAAGGGAGGAGAGTGTGTTTAAGCGTGCTCTGCTAAACATTTCCAAATTGTTTATAGTATAAAATACTTGTTAAGGGCTTTTAAAGTCTAATTTACCTCAAACTCTCCAAATGTAGTTGGTCTAAGTAGCTGAAATACCCTCTTTATTTTTTTAAGATTTATTTATTTATTTACTTTTAGAGGGAGGGGAAGGGAGGGGGAGAGAGAGGGAGAAATATCCATGTGTGGTTACCTCTCACACACCCCCTACTGGGAACCTGGCCGCAACCCAGGCATGTGCCCTGACTGGGAATCGAACCAGTGACCTTTAGTTTCACAGGCCGGCACTCAGTCCACTGATCCACACCAGCCAGGGCCTTGTTTATTTGTTTATCTGTTTGTTTGTTTAATTCACCAGATTATTACTTGTCCCGCTGCCCACTCTTGTTGCATAGACGTTTCTATTCTCAGGGTCACTGATTTTCAATGACTTTCTGGAGAAAGAAGCTAAAACACAAGTAGCAGGGCAATAACTTAGTAGAAGAATTTGTTCTTTATGTGAATTTAAACATGCAGGATACCATAGAGTTAATAATGACAATAACAATAATAATAGTAAGCTATTACTTAAGATAATCCTTACTTTGTGTCAGAAACTGTTCCAAGCACTAAACATAAATAACTCATTTACTTCTCCCCACAAACACTATAGTAGCTGCTATTACTGCCCCAGATGGGGATATTATCCCCGTTGGAAACTGGAGATCCAAACAGGCCCGGAGGCGCTAACTAGTTCACGATCAGACAGCTGCTGTGGTGGCGTGACTTTGAACGTGGGCAGGCTGATTCTAGAATTCCTACTCTTAACTACAGCACCATGTGCCTCATTGCAATCCTCACTCCTAAGGCAATAGAGAGTTGCTCTTGAACTTGTGTTCTTTCTTCACATTTAGAGTTTATAGCTTTCCTTTTACTTTATTTTTATTGTCGACACTATTACAGATGTCCCTCTGCCCCTCCCCCCGCCCCAGCCCTTTGCCCACCTCCACCCAGCCCTCATCTGCCCTCCCCTCAGGGCACCGGCGCACCATGGTCCATGTGCCTGGGTCACGCACACGCGTGTTCTTTCCTAGTACCGGCATGACAGGACCGAGGCCCACAGGCTGAGTTCCTTTTTGCCTCCCCAGCACTCTGACGGCAGATGCCGTGACATCAGTAGAAAGACAGCTTCTCTTGGACGTTAGGAAGGTGGACGGCTGTACAGGAAGGAAATGACAGCAAAGTATCCATCCCTTACATAGGAACGGTGGTCAGCTGCGTTCCTTGTCCTTTATACAGAGCTCCACAACTTTGAATACAGTTTCAGGGAGAAGATGTTTTTCTTTGAAGGCAGTTTCCTTCCAGGTTATCATAACCTTCCAGGTTATGTGACGAGTCACTCACCACATGTCTCCTTCTGTGCCTGGGTCCCCACAAGGCCGGAACTGTATTGTCCTCTCACGCACAGTGGCTCTCTTTGTAACCCATCCTTCCGGTCCTGATAGCCGTCTTGTTCACCACGCCGATGTTAGTGGTCCCGTTGGCCTTTTTACACATCCATTTGGAAAGCAGTTGGGTTAATGACAGAAACTGTATTTAAAAGATTTCTCCATTTTGCTATCACCCGAGAACCCTGAACGCCTGCTTAGCATGGCTTAGAGCCCCTCAGGAATCCGCAAGACCCCGTTCCACCCATTTAACTGGTGGAAGGAAACAGCAGGGGGGACCCCAAAACCCATGATGAGTGTGTGCTGAGCAAAGCCACGTGTGCTCTGAGTGAAACCGAGTCCCTGCACACAGGCACCGTCCACACCAGACAGGAGAAGAAAATCTGAATCACGAGGGCATTCTAGAATGACAGGGTGTGCATTTCGGCCAGTTATATAATAAAAAGTGCAACTCGAGTCCTTATTAATCAGTGAGATTACCACGGTTATGAGGCAGGCATGAATTTGATATGAAATTGAACTTGTTATGATGCATTTTCAACAGTTTGAAATCTCTTTTGTTTTGCATCTTATCTATGCTTTCTATAACATGCAGTTTTTCTCAGGGATTCCTTTTCTGCGATAAGAGTTTGCTGTTATGGTTCACAAGCCACGTGCCTGTTTTGTTTCTTAGAGAATTAAGGTTCCACCGATGCGCAGTGAAAATACCATTCTCACTGACATGTTTGCTAAAGTCAGACCTCGAGAGCCTTGTTGCGGGAAACCCCCACTCCAGTCTGGTCGGTCAGGCCTCGGAAACAGCTGGTTAGAGTCTTGGGAGTCTTGGGGGTCAGATGTCTTCTCTGGGAACACTGTCCAGCGGAGATGGTCTTTGTTCTTGCATTTCCTGCAGTCATTATGACTTCAAAAAAATGAGTCCTGGTACCCAGAGATGGCTGATGGAGAGCTGTGTCTTTCTCATAGTGCGCCCGATGAGCATTAACAGCTAGAGTGTCCTGGTGTTCAAGTGGAGGACTTAGCAGAGGAACTAAAAGGTTGAATCATGAAAACAAACTTCAGAACCAAATGTTTAGATCGAAGTTAGACTTTTTAATGGGAAAGGCACAGCATTCACTGGCCTTCCACAGTGTCAGGAACTAATATCCTTTTCTGAGAGAAAAAAAAAAAAGCCTGTTTATTCAATTAAAATTTTAATTAAAAACTTAAGCACCCATTTGAAGTATTAGCATAACGAACCTCTCGATATCCATTACTGAGATTCAGCAGTTTATTTGGTTAAGGTTGTACAGTGTTTATTAGGTCCTTTCCAAAGGAAATCACTTTAATAACACGAAGTCTTTGTTTTTCCTTTCCGCACAGAAACGGACAAATGGACTGCGGAGAGGCTCCAGACAGGTGGATCCAGGTATGTTTCTGGTTGTACATCCCTAGTTCTGACTTAGTTCTAAGTGACTAGGAAAATACACGGGACTTGCCGTGGAGAGCCGGCCAGAGTGTCGGCCTTTGTTCCCCGCAGTCTGGTACACAATGTGTGCCTGGGAGGCAACTGTCCACCGTGTCGGTCATTCACGTGACAGAGCTGCCTAGGACAGGGTCACCTGGTGAATAACCAGCAGTCACTCTCGTCCCACAGTCAGCCGTTGAGCTGGTTATTTGCTTTACTGAACAGCCTCGGGCTGCCTGGTCACGCTCCCTCACCCCACACGCTCGACCTGCTCCCTCCCAAACCTGGGAAGAGAACCAACCCGCCCTGAAAAGCGAGCATTTTCTGCAGGGTTGGGGGAGTTCACAAAGCAGCCAGCGCTGGTACCCACCCCACTTGGAAAAATAGTTTTCTTCACCCTGTATGTCAGCTACTGTATAATGGAAGAGAGAACTGGGGGACTCTGTCTGTCTGCAGGGAGAACTGGGTTGTTTTCCACTGAACATCGTGAGCTTTGGCCCGTCATTGTTTTAGTGCCAATATTTTGTCGTCCCTGCAGTAAGCAATGCGTCCCATGCATTAAGCAATGTCTTCCACAGTTTACCCACGATTTATCACATGTAATACAGGGTCATATTATCACAGGTAAAAGGTAGTCATGGCTAAAGGAGCCCAAGTATAGGAACTTGCTAATAAACACAGTGGAACGCCAAGCACAGTCCTGCTGGAAAGTAACCTGGGCTGTTTTGTTTTCCTGTGCCTGCCTGTGTGCACACCTCATTGTGGAGCTGAGCTTCAGGAGCATAGTAACTTCCACCTGAAACCACACCCAGGGCACCACGTCGGTGTCTGGCTGCCTGGGAAGATTTATGGGGCTTTGTGGCCTCTGGCGAGAAATGGCTTCGCTTGCTTCCTGAGCTCCGTTTTGGTCTTTTAACCACAGAGCAAAATTGAGGCCATTAAAAAAACAAAACAGGGCTTCTTGTTGACTTTTTCATAGTTTTAGCTTTCTAAGACACTACCACCCTTTGCAGAAACTTCTGCGATAATATTTAGAAGATTCTGCAATAATATTTAGAAAAAGTGCTTCTGTTCTGTAGGAGTGTATGACTGGGAGTGTAATTTAAAAAAAATTTTGTGGGGGTTGTGGTATTTCTGTTTCAAATAATTATCTATTTATAACGAAAATATTTATGTAAGTATTTTTAAATATTTTCTCTTCTATGCGATTTTCATTTCATCCACCGCTCCCGACAGGAAAATGCGTTTGTTTATGTTATTGGTAGGAGCACATTTGACTATTAATAATTCATGTTATAGCCAAAAGTTTTAGGAGCCCTTAGATTATTTAAAGAGAGCTCTAGTGAATTCACAGATTATAAATATGGCAAAATGAAGCACAATAAACCAGTTTATCGTCCTTTATCTTAAAGGCGGTGGTTGTGTATGCATGTGACTCTTTTGATGTTCCTATATCCTATTTCCTGTTTGTCCAAAGATCTGTCTGAAGGTCATGAAAGACTTCATGAAGAATAAACTTAGAAATACAAAAAAAGTAGTGTTACATGTTATGTTTGTAACTCTATCTATCTATCTATCTATCTATGATCTTTCCATTAGTTATAATAAATGTCTGAGTGTTTTATCATTTGTCCACATTTTTGAAAAAAAGGCCAAACAAATAATTAGCGGTCTTTCCTGTGGTAGCTCTTACTGTGAGGCCAGCTATTTCTCCCTGTAGGTGGCTGTTAACATCAGCCTGGACTTTTGAGTTCATAGGTGGTTGCCTTTCGGATCTTTGCTGCTTTCTTGTGGCAAGTTGCAGAGCTTTTTTTGTTTGGAGTTAACCCTTGCTTGTAGCGGCTTCCTCTGCACCCCCATGTGGCAGTGGTTCTGTGGGTGGGTTTCCACAGCTGTGTGAGATGCCTCACTCCCAACATGTTTAAACCAGGTATCGGTCAGACTGAGGCTTCCTGGACACGGGCAGATTGCTTCCAAGGACATTAGCTTCTGTGAGTGCTTTTCCCAGGCCGTTCCTTTACCTTTTCTCTCCCAGCTAAGTTCGCTGACCTCTCCAGGGGCCGACACGCTGTCTGCTCCCTGGGGCCTCACTTGGGGTGTTGTAGGAAACAGTGATGAAGTAGTTTGGGGGGTCAGAGGTAACTACATCGGATCCCAACTTCAGAGCCACATACAAAGGTACATGGTATAGCTTCCCTGGAGACCTTTGGTTTTGGAAAAGAACTTAATGCATATTTCCTTGCGTAGTAGGTGCTTCATGCATAATTTTAAATGAATGATTATAACTTGTTCTGAATGCCTCGGCTCTCTTGCTTTCTAAATTCTCTGTGCTGACAAAGTGGACCAATGGCAGTAAAGGAACATGCAATAGTCTAGTAGCAGGAGGCACAGCTCTGAGCCACATCACCTGGGCTAGCCACCCCACCTAGCTGTTTACTTGCACTTGACCTTGGGCTATTTGTGTCTTCTCTGCGCTGTAGTTTCCTAATTTGTGCAAGGAGACTAGTAAAGCCCTGCCTTACAAAGCTGCCGTGAGCTGGTTCACGAAGAGTCCTTGTAACAGTGTAGAAAAGGCGGAGGTGACGATTACTATGATGATTGCTTCATGGGAGAGCATGTTATTCCAGTTTGGACATTTTGCCTTGTGGAGGAGAACCAGTAATATTTGCTGGTTATGTCTTTCCACACAGACTCAGACTTTTGAGCTGAATTCCATGGAAGCTAGAAGTTACATAACCACAGCCATTTTCAGAATGGCCTTTGTTGCTTACCCCATGGCCTCGTGATATTTTGCCTATCTTTACGAGGAGGCACCAGCAACACTGGCGGTCCAGAGTTTTTGGTGAAGTCAGTAGTGTTTGTGAGTGCAACAAAGGAATAAAAGAAAGAAAAACTCCCGACGCTGAAAACGTTACTGTGTGCTGTGAAGTTCTTTTCAAACCCGAAAGGCATGAGCTGCAGATTGGCAGTGTGACTTGTTAGCACATTTAAAGCCTTCATGCTTTACTAATAGTGGTGGGTAATCTTTATAGATAACATTTGCAAATGGCTTTTCAGTTCGGTTTACATCTTCTTGTCTGCTGTGGTGTGCTAAGAAGTTTACCGACTTATGGCCTTAACTGTTTTTTATAAATGTAATAACGTGTGAGATGCAAATGCTGGTAGCTCTTTTGGATTTTTTAAATATAGCAAGGTATTTTCATCATTTTGTACTTTTCTTCCTGAGACATCAGATGTTAGATTCAGGAAAATAACACTTAGAAGAGACAGATCAATTATTTCAGGAACATGAAGGTGCTGGGCCTTTTTCAAGAACATGAGATCATAAATCTCAAGAAAATCTGAGCCCTGGTGTAATATTTTTCACCTCAAGGGGCTCTCAAGGTCAGAGTCACCAATTAAATTTTAATACTGAGCTTGAAAAGTTTCCTCCTGTCTGAGTACAGGACACACGAGATTTAGTTTGCAGGTGGCAGGTCCGTGGGCCAGGACACATGTCCTTTTAATCACGTCCCTGTCTTTAGACGATCACTAAATTGTCTCTATTTGCAGGATGCATAACGTCTTGTACTTAAGTCCACAGTCACTAGTGTTTAAAGCATTCAGGTCAGTGTTCTGTGTTGCGCTCGCCGAAGATTAGACGAAGTAGGAGATAAATGTGCCTCATCTCTTCTGATCTCAGGTTCCTCAGGTGGCTTGTGATGACCTTGAATAGCAAATGAGCAGATAATGGTTGAATTGAGAAGGCTCTTTCTCTGTGCTCTGACGCCGCTGACTGCAGAGAGAAACGTGGCTTGCAGACACTGTCTTATGTTCACAGAGGAGATGTCTTAACTGTTTCTGGCAGAGCCGTCTTCAAAGACGGCTGCTTTCCCTTTCGGATGAAAGTAGCCTTGATATAAAATTCCATTCGTATTGTTCTCTTTTTAAAAAAGATTTTACTTATTTATCTTTAGAGAGAGTGGGAAAGGGAGGGGGGAAGAGAGAGAAAAATATCAATATCCGAGAGAAACATTGATCGGTTGCTTCTCCCGTGCCCCGCAACCGGGGACCTGGTCCTCAACCCAGGCACGTGCCCTGACTGGGAATTGAACCAGCAACCTTCCAGGGCACAGGATGAGGCCCAGCTCACTGAGCCGCACCAGCCAGGGCCATTCCTATTGTTATCCTGTGAACAAAGGAACCCAGGAACGCTCTCTCGCGTTTCCAAGTTTGTATTATATGGAGCAGTCAGCATCAGCAACGTCGTTAATTAGAAAGCGTGGCTCCTCTCCACCAGGGATTTACATTCTGCCTGAGCAAGGAGACGCAGGCACAAGTCTTGATTTACGTCCGTGAGTAGACATATTAAGGTGTTTTATTATTACATATATCATTTCATATACTGGTTCACTATGGTGTGGCGTAGTGTCATAAAAACAATGAGCGAATAGTCTGATAAACGTATAAAAAGATGCAATTATGGAGAAGTACGGAAAAAGCAAAAGGAATTGGAAAAGAGAGAAGCCAGTGTGGGCTCAGATTGCTTTCCAGCAGGGTCATCTGTGTATGTTTCCACTTATATAAGTAAAAACTTTACTGTGGTGGTTTATTGTACTGAATTACAATCTATCACAGTTTTCCTTACTGTTTTAATTTCCAAAAACTGAAAAACTCATTTCAAATCCAACCAGAATTGTTGATTTTTTTTAGATGTGATTTTAGACATATTGGCATTTGCTGAATAGAGAAATAATATATTTTTAGTTTCTAAATAGAAAACATTGCAGAGAAAAATATCAACCCGAGATTTTTAAAGTCACTGACCTAAAAAATACATTTCATTCTTTCTTTTCCTTTTTTAAGAAGACAGATGTATGTTCTTGAAGGCTGTAGTAAATGGACTTTCGTTCATAATAAATAAGTAATAACATATCCATAGATGATACTCGTTCCTTATTAGCCAGTCAAACCTGGTTCTG